AGCCTTATTCAGCTTAGGTCGCTTAAGACGATTAAGATCTGATGGGCATCTTCACACAATCAGAAAAGTAAACCTCGCGATAACAGCCGATTTCGTTTATTCTTGCTTCCGAAAGGCATTCTTATTTGGGGTAGGTGACCGTTTTGGATCCCGCCATGGTCTCATCGCCAGATTGTGAAAATACAGCGTATGGTATTCCTGTCTTGCAGACGTGAATTTCACATTTTTATTGTGGGATTGTTGATGGGGCAAACATTAATGTACACTTTCTTACTTGTCTTGGAATTGAATGGGGTTTCCAGACCAAAGCTCTCTTTCAAGATCCAATGATAGCATCGAAATACTACTCCATTTGGGTACAATTAATGTTGTTGGCTGCATAAACAAATAAACGCTTTCCATTTTATAAGCAGGCCTTCAGAACTAACAGTCAATCATACATACAAAGTGTATTCACCCTATTTCGTGTAATGTGATAGCGGGACTGATAGTTGAATTTTCCCACAATCAGATGAGTAGACCTAAAGTTTCCATTGAATTTAACATAGCCTTGCTTCCCCAAAAAGTATTCCCATCCAGGCTGAAGTGGATCGTAATTTCTACATCGCCTGAATTGGCTTCATAAGCACACCCAGCGGGGCTCGAACCCGGGTCGCGGTGGTGCAGCGTAGAATCTCGACACGTTAACCACAACGCCAGACTACCACGGACGCCCTGGATCAAGGTTTTTTCGCTAATCGGTAGAAAAGTGATCGCGATGATAAAAGAGGGGCGGGTATTTTCGGTAACCAAGCGAAAATGTTGTCTGTTCGAATAAACCAGTTCAGCTTTGGGGGCCTGGCAGTCAGGGCGCTGGGCGGACGGATACGCAAACCGTCACAGAAATTCGACATTATGGCCAAACAGTAGCAGACATCCACTTGAGATGGCGCAGACGATCAGGGATGGGCTTTCACAGTTCGATCAAGAAGACGGCCCGTGAAGTGAATGTCTGAGATCTGCAATCATGCCAATCACATTCTCGACGCTCCGCTCGGCGAGGCGGCATTGTACGTGTTTCTGGGGCCTTAAGTGAAATAAATGCACAGTGGGACTGGGACCGAGTGAAACTGGTCAACCGGAAAGAGGAGAAACTGATCTACTCGATCATGAAGGAGATCCGGATCGGAGGCCCGAGTGGGATTAGCCGATCGAAAGCGAAGGGGTTCGGGGTTAAGAGCTGGTCTGATGACGCCACAAAAGGGCACACATTTTGACGAGTGAGAAGTTGTGATTGGGCGGGAGTTGGATAAGAGGGTAAAGAGTAGATAGATAGATCGGTATAGAAGGAGGAGTTGAGCTTACTTCCATTTCGAGTGAAACTGTGCGGTGAAGAGATTCGAAGTTCGGTTCCACCAGAAGATGACGGAGGATTCCTCTTGACCAGCTGTCGATTGGCTTTACTGGAACATTCATGCTGACGCTGCTTCCGAAGTAATTTCATTTGATTCCGGTGAAAAAGTGCTAAGTTTTTTTCCGTCGTATGATGAACATCATCAGAGCACAGTATCATCTTTACATCAAAATCGCTTTATACCTCATCAAAGAGTTCAGATATAGAATATATATGTAGCCTTTTAAGAATGAGCTGGTGACTTTCCTTGACCTGTTGGCTTGAATTCTGTTGTAAGGATGATACCCTGCTCTGGTGATGTACGCCATACGGCGGAAGAAGGCTTGGCACTTTTTCACCGGAATCGAAGGAGATTGCCTCGGAAACAGCGTCAGCATGAATGTTCCACCAAATTTAATCGACAGCTGGTCAAGATGAATCCTCCGTCGTCTTCTGGTGGAGCCGACCTTCGAATCTCTTCACGCAACACTTTCACTCGAAATGGAAGTAAACTCAACAATCATGAAACAAGGGCATAAGACTCAGAGAGATGATGCCGGCGAAACGTCTGAGAATGTACCGAGTCCACCATCTGATGCTGGGAATCATGACAACAACTCTGGCAGAGGACTTCGGACAAGGTGCCTTCTACTAAGTCGCCTTGACAACAAGACCAACTTGTGGTATCGAGGTCGACAAATTTATTCAAATCGAAAGGAGACTGCGACCATACCGAGGGCCACATCATCTTGGTCTTCATATCTTCAAAGTTGTAGTTGTTACTCCATTACTTATTTTCCGTCTATAAGTTGGTTCTCAAGACTACCATTAGATCATAAGCTGCACTCTCTTGGTTCGAGTCCCGCTGGAAATGCTAATGAAGCTAGCTGAGGCGAGGTCTAAACTACAAACCAGTCAATCATTGATGAGAATGTAGGGACTTTTACTCCACAATTAATTTGGTTACATCTCTCTCGTTGTTATCTCTTAACCTTTGCAACACCGAGCGGAGCACGACTCATCGGCACTGTGTTCAGTAGGGACTAGACGAACCTAAACACCACATCGAGCCTCTCCATTGGACCGATCAGAACGTGGCATTAAAAGTGCTCAAAAGTATTTAAAGTCAGAAACTCGCTAGATTAGCGCTCTCTTTCCCATTGTTACTTCATGTGACTCTCTGTGACCGAACAGTGTGCGTTATCGTCTGTGTTTTCCCACATTGAAATTCTCGCATGTACCTTTTCCTCTTCTATACAGGTCACTGCGTGACTTGTTTTCTTGTTGCCTCATATCAAACTGGAGTACCTTATACGGTAGGGCGAAGCAGAGCACATATTTGTAATGAATATTTTAGATCGACTAAACCTTTACTGCTTGGCAAAGCAAGTCTATGTGAAATGCAACGAAAGCGTAACATCTATTCATCTGTTTGTGGGAAAATTCAAATGCCATTCCTTCACCATCTTAAAAGAAGTAGGGCGAACACATCTTATGAATACACGTTTGCGTCAGCGGCAATCTCAATTTAAACATGTGATATTGGAGAGGCCTGGTTTGTGTTGAAATTCACATCTTCCACGTGACCGACTTTCATTCATGACAGTCTGGCGTAGTGTTCCTGTCGAAGTGATAGACTGCACTACCATGACCAGGTTCCGAGTCCCGTTGGGGATGTGGCTGAGACCAGTTGAGGCGAGGTTAAAACTACCGTCCAGTCCAGTCGGGATTAGAATAGCTTGTTGGAGGCAAGACTGTGTGAAAGTCAATTGCATTGTGGAGTCTATTCATTTGTGGTAAAAGTCATCCTATGCTCCTATTCACCCGTTCAGATTCCGATGCAGGTGAGGCTGAGAGGATGAGTTGTCGTGGAAGCAACATTCCAGTGGAGATGCAGGCAAGGCCCTTGGGAAGTTGATGTGCAAGACTTCTCTTTAAAGCATCGCGGTAGCACCATGTGGAAATGGCGGATTTAGCCTCCGCACTAGCATTCTCTTTAGGGAAGAGAATAACTCTTTAGAGTAGCTGGGCTCCGAAGAATCCCTGAATAGTTCGATACCGGCGTACCTTTCATTTCGTTTGAAAAGACGGATTCGTAGCTTGGTCTCACCGGAAACCGCAGGAGAGTGGTTGCCAGGGCCTTTTTTCTGTTTAACTGTTCGAATAAACCTTCGGCTCACCGTCCTACGACCCCAAAGACTCCGTGCCGATCCTTCGTCCGTCCTGTGACGGACATCGTCAGAGCCAGAAAGCATTATTCATAAACAAAAAGCAAGAAAGGATGCGTGTTTGTGTGCGTGTGTGTGTGTGTGTGTGTGTATGCGACAACAATGGGTTGGCTGACAAGTTTAGGTGCAAAAACATTCTTCAGCTTAGTCTTACCCAGTGGCTCTCTCTCTCTTTAATTCTGGTTAACAGCCAAAGAGTTGTTACTTAGTTTCATGGATCCATTCACCTTATTCGGGAATTTCAATCAATTAATTATTTAATTAATTAATTAATTTCAATTGACTCTCAGATCTTCCATTTAGCTGTCAAGTCCCCATATCCGGCAACAAGTTGGGGTTCGGACGACTCGATCTGGTGTCCTGTAGCGACTAAAAGTCGAGCCACTTGCGATTTGTGAATCC